TTATGGACCAAGTGTTCGACCCCGTTCCAGGGGGCGCTGTCTAGCCCCCTGCACACCCAGGTACCATCTTCAGCCCGGCCCTGATGGCTGTGATCTGACCTGTGGTGCAAAGTTTCAAGAGTTTTCAAACCCGTTAGGGGCCCCAAAAGCCGCTAAGAGTCTCAAAATCATAAAAAAAAAAGAATTTTAAAGTTTGATGCGTTGCCACGGCAACAGTATCAAAGATATCAAGAATCCATTCACAGGTCTCATCTGCTATGTATTTTACATTATACAGATTAAGTTTGAAGCACATCGGGTAAAAATAAAAGGGTGAGTTCAAAGCATTTTGAAAGTGACACACTTCCTGCTACCAGTTGGTGGCGCAATAACTTTGACTCACAATAGTCCACATCCATGTGATCGTCCTCTACAGCGAACACACTGCTGAAGTTTCATCAAGATCAGTTAATGTATGCTGAAGTTATAACACACTTCCTGTTTCATGTTTCTCGCCATAATTTTCGTTTCCTCGCCATGGCCAACCGTTCGAGATATCAAAAATCCCTCGCAAACTTTCATCGTCATGCCTTGACTTCATGCTGACCGAGTTTCGTGCCGTGTGTTTGAATTCTCTAGGAGTAGTACTTCAAATTCCATTGCGAGTGTTATGAACAACCCTAAAAATAACCGACTTCCTGTTGGGCTGGGGTAAAAAGTAATAGTATGAGTATATTATGAACGATGAGATCAACATGTGTACCGAGTTTCATATTATTACATAAAAGCGTGTTTGAGTTATGGACCAAGTTTTCGGACCCCGTTCCCAGGGGCGCTGTCTAGTCCCCCCTGCCACGCCCGGGTACCATCTTCAGCCCGGCCCTGATGGCCGCGGGTTCTGACCCATGTGCTAAGTTTCAAGAGTTTTTGAGCATGTTAAGGGCCCCAAAAGTGCCCGAATAGTCGTATAAATAATAATAATAATAATAATAAATATAGCTGCGAGCAGCGATGAAGGGCCCAAGCCGGTGGCACCGCAACCCCGGTTCCTTAGTTACCTAAAAGCACCAGGGTGGCCATGCCACTGGCTTTGGCCCTTCATCGCGGATCACAGCTATATATATACCCAGGTGAAAAGGAAATGTATTTAAATTGTACTTATTTTGATATACTTAATGTATTTTAAGTGCACCGTATTAAATATGTATTAAATGTGCTAAATTGAAACAACTTCAAGTATATTAAGTGTACTTTAATATGTATTTAAGTTCAATTTTAAGGTAATAGTAATATACTTTATTATATTAAATTGTGCTAAAATGAAACCATTTTAAGTACATTTAATGTAATATAATAGCACTTATTTAAAGTGTATTTTAATACACTTTAAATCGACTTTAGAAATACAGCATTAGTATATTTTTAGCTTCACATTAATGCGTTCTAAGTATATTTTAATATAATTTCAGCTTATTAATAATGTATTGTAGAACACTATAGGACCCACTATTAACATATTAAAAATATATTTTTCCAAAAACCATTTAATATAAAAATAATATATTTTAATGTATTAAAAATACAGTTAAACATTTTAATTCAACAAAACCCAGTAAAAAAATATTTCTACAAAACACACAAACACTCTTTGAAAGATAAACTTTAATGCACTACATCAGTAAAGCATTATGAAAACTAAACAAAATACATTAACATAAAATGCATTGATTTGCAGAGGTATTAAACAGAACAAAAAATAAATAAATAAATAAACTAACTGAAAGGAGTAGTTCACTTTTAAAAAAAACTTTTGCTGATAATTTACTCACCCCCATGTCTTCCAAGATGTCCATGTCTTTCTTTCTTCAGTCGAAAAGGAATTAAGGTTTTTGATGAAAACATTCCAGGATTTTTCTCCATATAATGGACTTCACTGGGAACAAAACGGTTCAAGGTCCAATGGCTAACAGTCAATTTGTCGTGAAAGCATGAGAATTGCGCAATTGCGAGAGTCTTGTGCTGAATGCTTGAGAGTTGGCAGCCCTGACAAATCTTTTTTCAAGTCAATTCATTCATTTCGTTCGTTGAATGAACCTAATGACTCGGAAAAAGATTTGTTAATTTTGATGAACGAGTTTGAATAGGAGAGTTATGAACATGCATAACAGAACAGAGCAAGGCGACCATTTGAGCTTATAAAACTTAAACGTTGTTTTTTTTTTTTTAAATGACCGATCGTTTCGCTTGATAAGACCCTTATTCATCGTCTGGAATCGTTTAAAGCCCTTTGAACAGTTTGCACAGAAACTGCCTTTTGGACCTTGAACCGTTTGGTTCCCAATGAAGTCCATATGGAGAAAATCCTGGAATGTTTTCATCAAAAACCTTAATTTCTTTTCAACTGAAGAAAGAATGACATGGATATCTTGGCATGGGGGTGGGTAAGTTATCAGCAAAAGTTTTTTTTTTTTAAGTGAACTAATCCTTTAAGTCCTTTTGGGGACATCAGAACCACCGAGGGAAATCTGGAAAGAATAAAAAAAACAAGCATTAGTATAAACTTGTTCATTTATAATTCTAATAAAAAGCTGTCACTTTGTTACTTAATTCAGAACACTTACTGAAGTATTAATGCACAAAAAGTCAGATATAATTATTATAACAAATAGGATTTTTCTTTATCATAAAGAATTTTCTTACCATGTCTGAGGTTTCAGGAAGACACAGCTCAGATGATCTTGGGCTTGAGCTGAATGAACCTCGTTTCATGGACTCCAGGGCCTCTTTGAGAGATGATAGTATCCCTGGAAGCTCTACAAGAAAAAATAAAGTTGCATGTTATACAAAGTTAGGGCAGAACAAACACTAGTTTGTGTTCTTCATATATAATTTGTATTTTGTTTAAATGGTAAAACATATTTAATGAACCATTACTGTAACTTCCACGCTATTATTAAAGTAATTATTCATTATTAATAAAGACAGAACATTCTATTGAAAGTTACAAGTTGGTGACAGCTGATAACGACTTGATTAAATGTAAAAAAGCTGAATACCACTCATAAAATCATATAAATCAGTCCCTCGAGAAAAACACGATTATGCGATTGCATAATTCAATGCATAATCAGGCAAAATACATATTCATGCGGGGGACGCAATTTTTCAAATACGTGTTAATATATAATAGGTCACTTAGCTACTTAGCTGCTACATGACACAATATTGACTGTTTTTGTTGTTTTTCACCAACAAAAAGTTACAAATCAAGAGGATCAACTACTACTTACTCGACTTGACCTCATCTACACACGGTTAGGTTTAATATAAAAAAAATTCTTTGCAATGTGCAAATTCCTTGGCTAGGCTAAATATTAAATATAAAATATCTTATTTCATTATTTAACATCGTTTTAATTTCTCAGTGCATGATATTTAATAATTGGTTTTGTGAAAGCTTATTGGTGATTACAACTTAATTTATTTATCGAATTGACATGAAAACTGACAGCCTACTAATAATTAATTAGATTTTACTATGAATTAAATATCACAAATGTGTAAGTTTTATTAGAGCTTAAAATATATTATAATATTTAAAACACAAGAAGTTACTTAGGGACAATCAAGCCTGTCGTGTAATCACCAGTAATAACCTTTTTTTCTGCAAACACAGTGTGCAATGTTTTTATAGTTGTTTTATGTCACTGTCTAGATCTATAACATTAAGTTGATAGACGTCAATGGATAGACGTTAACTCGCTTTAGTGTCAAATCAACAGAAACGCCAGTAAACCACAGAACATCGTCATCAACTTCTGAAAATATTTTCTAAACCCAAAGTGAGAATAAAGCCAATTATACTAATCACTTAAACTAATAAACTTACCACCAAGAAGTAAGATCTTTTCTGGCAGTATCTTGCTCTGTCCATGTCGTGGCGGCGCACCTCTGCGTTGTCCTCTTCACTGCTAAATTGTTCGCGGGAGCTGACGACCTGGTAATCTGCTCGTGTGTTCTCTCAATATTAGATCGGTGCTATCCACATTCACTAGGTCCGAGACAGTGAAATAACAAAGCAAAATTTGGAAAATACATGATTTCTGTTGAAATGTCCGAAGCTATAATGAATACCACAGACAGTCAGTATCCGTTGTCCGGATGTCCGCGCCCCGCCCAACATGTAAGTTCAAATGGCAGTGTGTGATTGGACAATTGCCGGCAAGCTTGTTTTGAAAAGATTGGCTCTGATTGGTCCAAATGAATGCAACTGGAAATACTAACTAACTAACGCCACAAAAAAAAAGAAACAACTCTGTTAATATAAACATAACATGCTTTATAAACAGGTTTTTTATTCATTTTGAATGCTAAACAAATGTTAGAGTCAAGCTTTTAACAAATTTATTTTGTTTTTCTAGTATGTACACCTGATCTTTTATGTTGATGTGTGCAAGTACTGGTATTCACTTGTTTTGTGGAAAAGACTATTTGATTAATTAATGCAGAAGTATAGAAGTGCATTACTTGTAATTTTTAAACTTTATATATATGTCTCATTTGTTTTTCACAATATTTTTTTAAAGCAGGGCTGAAGCACATGCTACAGTATAACATAAATATTAAAAATATATTGCTCTAGTCCTATACAAGGTTAAATAATTAAGTTATAAGGTTACAAATTGCTATACACACAAAGTAAACACAAAAATACTTTAATTTAGCAACAAGTATGCTTTCTGTAAATACACTAAAATTTCACTAAAACTATGTTTGTTTTTAGCATATTTCTAAAAGTGTAATTAAGTGTATATTTATTAGCATTGCGTTTCTAGTAAAACATTTTTAAATATAATTAAAATATGTTTGTATTTAGCATATTTCTTAAAAATGTAATTAAATACCAATGTACTTCTAGTACACTTTTTAGAAACATATTTAAAGCATGATTGTCATTAGCATATTTATTAAAAATATAATTAAGCATACATTTATTACCAATGTACTAATAATATACTTTTTTAGAAATACATTAAAAGTATGCTTTTCTATAGTGTATTTCTTAAAAGTGTATTTAAACATATATTTATTACCAATGTAATTCTAATATACTTTTTAGAAATACATTTAAAGTATAATTATCATTATCATATTTATTAAAAATATAATAAAGCATACATTTATTACCAATATATTACTAATATACTTTTTATAAATACATTAAAAGTATGCTTTTCTATAGTACATTTCTTAAAAGTGTAATTAAATATATATTTATTACCAATGTACTAATAAATATGTAGAATGTATGTAGAAATATACTAAAATGCAATAAAATAAATTTTTAGTACACTTTAAATAAGCATGTTGTAAATACAAATGTATTATAAACACACTATTTGTATTTCAAATATATTTTTAATACATTTAATACAACGTCTTTTTCACCTGGGTATATACTGTATATATACATATATATATGAAGCCGGTGGCACCGCCACCCTGGTGCCTTTAGGTTTATTGTGCACGACATGCAAAATGTAACCCTGCTTTGACTGATGCAAGCTCTACAGCACAGTTTATAGTAAGAAAGAATATAGTAAGAAAGAAAAGTAAGCTGTTACTCTGAGATGGTTTGGGAAACAAACATTCATCATGTCGCATTGGTTTTAGTTACTTGTCCTCGAACAGAGCCCTAATCTGTTTATATTTCAGTTACACATTCTACATTGATTAAAAAAGAAAAATCAAATGTGTTTTTAATTCATACAGAAATAAAATATTTATAATTCAGCTGAAAATAAAGTTAGTTCAAATTTTAAGAAAAACAAATATATGATCTGAAATATAGCACATTCATTTTTAAATTCATTCAGGTTCAATTACCAAAAATACAATCTTAATTTAATTTAAAGCAAATAATAAATCTAAAATATATGGGTTATATGCATATTTTAAAAAAAAGAAAAAAAAGAAAGATATATATCCAAAAACACAAGGCCTTAAACTTTAACAAGGGTGCAACTCTTATCACTACAACAAACATAGTCACACACACAAGTCAAGTCACTTACATTTTAGATGCAATATTGACTTTTTAGATGCAATATTGACTTTTTTCTGTTTCAGCAGAGAAAATAGTTAAACAAAGATCACAGCGACCCATCGCGCATCTCAAAGCAATGTGTTTTCTCATTACTGAATGATTCAGCATTTTGAATCCATGACTCGTTCATTAAGACGGTCATCTGGCGACACCTTATGGTGATTTAGGGTTATGTTTAAAAGTATCGTTCTTTACAGCGATTTTTAATTGACTCCTGTTAAACCAATCTCGTAACATTATTGTGTAACCGATTTAATTTGATCAGCCTTACCTAGGGTAACAGCCCTATAGTGTCTTATTATTCTAAATTATTGAATTTATTGATCAAATTTACTAATGAAAAATGAAGCATACATTTATTAAGACTAGGCTGCCCTGCAGATATTAGGCTACAATATGCAGATTTAAATATACCATTTATCAAATAATCTGTTTATTTTTAGGTAACACATTACATTGTTTAAAAAATAAAAATCAAATGTGACCCGCTCTGGCGAAATGAGTCGGAAGTTGCAACCTTCTATTTTAAGATATGGGCCGATTATGTGGAAAAAACCATGAAATAACAAAAAAAATAAAAATAAAAAATAAATAATAATTTTTTTTTTGCTAATTTCAAAGAACAGACATTCAAAAATAATCTCACAGGGTTTCGTAGTCGAGATAATTGAGTAAAGGTATTTAAATAACGATTAAAGTTGTCAAAGCTTTAAATTCGCTGAAATAAACATTGCTCTTCTCAACTCCCCTCGTCACCTTTGAGCATTTCCCGGGTATCCCCTGAAACGTTGAACTCACTGGAGGCTTCTAACCTAAACTGCGTGAGTATATTTATCTGCAAGAAGAATAATAGCCTATGTAAGGCTGTAACGATCGCGACACTCAGATCCACGAACCTGTGTCGCGGTGTGAGAAGACAGAATCACGACACCGACACGTCCCTTCAACTCCCGAAGTTATCCTTCACGTCCAGACCCAATGCTACAACATTTTTAAATTACTATTAGTATTATTTGAAGTTAACATTATAAAATACGTAGACTTACACCACAAAACTTAAATTATTACTAAATTTTTTAAAATTGGGCAATTTCAGCATTATGGAGGAGATCCAATTCCCAGATAATTAAATATTTTAATACATTGGCCTATGTGAACCACACTGCACAAACCAAAAGTAATACTCACCGGATGAAGAAGGGTTGACTCTCTCCAGAACATAAAATCTTTATTTTATTTTCCGTGTTCGCATTTATGAGGAAAAACAATCCGAACGTAACCGTTCTCTGGAAGCAGCACTAAAACTTTCACATAGCTTAAACATGCAAGCACAAAGCCTTTCTTTAAAGTAAATTTCGTTTTAAAATAATTATCTTAATTTAAATCAATGTTTCATCAACCAATTACTAGGATTTAATAATAAGAAATAAATTGCAGACAATAGGCTAGGCCTAATCACGACGCGGAGACGCGCGGCACGTGAACTGAAGCTTGTCTCATGAACCGAAAGTCAGCGTATAAGGTATCCTCACAGACATATATATTGAAATGTCTACTTTTAAAGACAACCATTCAAAATGAAAGAAAACAGACTGCTCTCTGCTTATGTGGGCTAATCCGTATGAAAACTGAATTTCTCTCTGACTCCTCTTCAATCTTTCTGATTTTAGAACATTTTTGTAAAAGTGACTTTTAATTATTTGTTTCAAAAAAATTAAAAATAAGTTGAGTTTCAGCCTCGTTAAATTGCATTTATATATGTTAATCTATTTGGTCAAATTAAGCTATATAAAATAAATAGTTTATCCCTTAAAATGCTATGGATTTTGAAAGATATAAAAAAAAAAAAAAAAAAAAAAACGGGCAAAAAAACTTTAAAAGCGATTTTCTTAGGTTTTCAATTGGAAAAAAAGGGCAGACGACCAGAATTCAAATCTGTATATCTTTACAACCATTCAAGGTATGACCAAGGTATCATTTGAAAGCTTACAGTGTCCTCTTTCCATTAATATCAAAATCTCAATTTTTAAATTTGGGTCACTGTGACTAATTTTGCTGGATCAGGTCGGTCACAAATGTGTTTTTTATTGTAGTATTATTTTATACAGAAATACATTATAATTATATATAATATACAAAATATAACCGTGGGCGCGATTAAACAGTGTTACAATAAAACTCAACATTGTGTTTTTTAAAAATAAATTCAAATAATACAAATCCCGAAATTGCGCTAATTTTAAAATTAAACTAAAACTCATGGCTGCACAAGCATTCATAACTGTGCGCGCCAACAGCGAGGAACCAGCAGAACAGAGTGAACGTTCATTCTGTTTAGTTCAATCCTACTTAATAGGAATTTATTTAAAATGCTTGCTCTACTCCACAACATTAATGTCTTGTGCGGATATCTGTATTTTGACTTTCGGTTTTAAGTAAGCGATTTAAAAGTTCCCGAGTCCCAGCGGAGTCACACGTTGATTAACCGGTGGGAATATACACAATAGGCCTAACTGATATTGAACAACAAGAGGGCAGTATAGCACTACGTATGACTCAGATTATTTTTTCTTCTTCTGAATTTTACAACCTGGCTGTTTTTGAACGTAAACATAATTCTTAAATGAAAAAAGGGAAAAACTGCTTTAATTATAATATTTGTATAATTTAATTTAGAAACAAATGATGTATAATTACATTTTTAGAAGATATGAGGCTTTTAGTGTTTACTTTTTTGACATTACTTTAATCTTTTGCCAAAGTTGCACATGCCTACTGGCTAATAAATGTGATGTATCTGTCGAGCTATCTGTATCTATCTGTTTCAAGCAATTTCAAGCATGCTAAGAGTCCCAAAAGTATCAAAAAAGAATGTTAAAGTTTGTTTGTTGCCACAGCAACAGTATCAAAGATATCAAGAATCCATTCACAGGTCTACATCTGCTGTATT